GCTTTGCCTTCTCTTCTCGCTCTCATTTGCGTATGTTAGCCACCATATATGCTAGTCGCTTGCTGCAGCTCCACCTCATACCTTTACCTTACCCATAAGCTTAAATAGTCTTGATCGCGAGGGTGCGAGATTGCTGAGTCCCCGTGGCTCACAGATACTTCCAAAACCAGCTTGCGGGTGCCGATGAGTCCGTGCAGGTGACGCAACCAAGATCAAGGAGGAGCTCGATGAAGATCTTGTCCTTTGTGTTGTTTCGTTCTAGTCGATCAGTAGTGGAGCCTAGTTGGGGTCGATCGGGGACCTTGTCGCATTTGGGGTTCTTCTTTTATTTTGGCTCCGTAGTCGGGCCTTGTTTGTAACTGGTTGATGTAATGCTTTATTTATGTATTTGTGTGAGGTGGCGATTGTAAGCCAACTATGTATCTTTTTCCCATATTGTATTACTTGGGTTGTGTGAAGATTACCTCACTTGCGACATTGCTTTCAATGCGGTTATGCCTCTAAGTCGTGCTTCGACATGTGGGAGATATAGCCGCATCGAGGGCGTTACACTAACCCTCTCCGGTGTCTATATAAACCGGAGGGTTTTAGTCCGTAGGACAACATATAGAACAACAATCATACCATAGGCTAGCTTCTAGGGTTTAGCCTCTCTGATCTCGTGGTAGATCTACTCTTGTACTACCCATATCATCAATATTAATCAAGCAGGACGTAGGGTTTTACCTCCATCAAGAGGGCCCGAACCTGGGTAAAACTTCGTGTCCCTTGCCTCCTGTTACCATCCGGCCTAGACGCACAGTTTGGGACCCCCTACCCGAGATCCGCCGGTTTTGACACCGACACCCGTTGTTCAAGCGTCAGCGCCTTCTTTGGCTTGGTCGCGGTGGCGGTCTTGCGCGGGGCACGAGGCACGAGGCTTGCCTTTCCTGGAGGGGGCGGCGGCGCCGGACGAGGCGAAGGAGGCGAGGTCGTCGGCGGCGGCGAGGTCGATGGCGTCCTCCATGGCGGGGTGTGGGGCGGGAGCGCGCGCGGGCGGGAGTGTTTTTGGGAAAATGGAGGGAAATGGTGGTGGCTGCCACCAACCAGCGGGCCCGGGGAGAGGAGTAGGCGCGCGCATCTGTCTCGTGTCCGCGCCGACACAAATCCGGCTCAAAATTGGGTCGGGAATGGGTCGCTCGCGGACGAAAAGCGGACGCCCGTCCGTTTGGGTTGGCTTGTTAGGCCAATTTTTCTGTCCGCGCCGACCCAAACGGATGGCGGCGGCCGAAATGGGTCGCCCCATTGGAGTTGGTTTAAGCCACGGCGATCGCGTCGGGCGTAAGTGTGTGCGCGCGAGACGGATAGGGAGCGTGGCGGGCGTGCGTAGAGTAGGGTAGGGGCGCGCGCGAGTGCATGCGTGGCGCTAGACCTGGTGTAGCCATTGGAGAGCTAGTCAGGGTGACCGAGTCGTGTTCATTGCGGGCTCGCCGCGACCCGGGCGCGATCATGCGCGGGGTGGGTGCGGCCAGAGTGGGCCGGACCGAGCGCTTGGGCGGGTGCAGATGTGAGAATCGTGTCCAGCGTCTGCCTCGGGTACAAAGCCCTCGAGGGGCTTGTTGTAATGGGTGTGGTATCGAGTGTGAGCTCGTGGAGTTGGCGTCGTTGCGCTGGGAAAAACCATTATGTCTCCTGTGTCCTTCTTCCTCCTCCGATCTTCTTCTTCCTTGTGTCACTCGAGTGCAGCAGACTGAGAGAGAGAGAGAAAGCTAGGGCAAGGAGTGGAAACAACAAAATATTCTCTTTCATAACCGGAAATTTCATTAACAAATCCTAAAATTCATATGATTACCTGTAATGTAAAATCTAGTCTAAATCTTCGCCCATGTCCGTGCTTCCGTGAGCCCCGAGAAGTGAAGGTACGGTCTCTTACAAGGAAGAGTAAGACACGGAACACAAACTCACCCACATGTGACACGAGGCACCGCCGTCACCCATGCCCTACTCTTCCTGGTCGAGGCTCGCAACCTGGACGTCGTCGGTCAAGGTGAGGTCCACCATAGACGTGGATGGGCCGGCCTCGTGGTCGAAGCCCGACGCCACCACCCCGCGGTTGCGGTGCCAGGGCTTCCGGTCACCTGTTGCGGCTCCGCCTGCGCGGCCTCGATAGCGTGGGCCGGCGGCAGCCTCCCTCTCACAGTGGGCACGCCTCGCCTCGGCAACAGATGGACTGTAAAGCATGTCGGCGTTCACCTCCAACTTGGAGCCTGACGCCGCGGGGATGATGCGCCACAAAAGGGGTTGTGACGTCAGACGGTGGTGACCAAGTCCGTCGAGGACGGGGTCACGCACCTCGAGCCACCAGCCCCGATGGATCCGACTGCCATTTGCGCGGACGGAATGGATTCCCGCCGGATCGAATCCGACCGTGATCAAGCGCATTCCTGCCGGAGGCGACAGAGAGCCATGCGGACGACCATCTTCTCTCGCCCCTGCATGAGACGAGGTCCCAATCGACGGATAAGAGATCTCGGAGTCAGATCTGATGTCTGTCATGTCGGAGAGGTCGGAGATCATCGAAACAAAGCTAGTGGAGTGGAGTGGCTAGGGTTTCGTCTGGGATACAGATAAGGACGAATATACATGGGTTAGGGTGGACCAGCTTGGGCCGGGTCCGAATCCGACATCCGGACCTCCCCATATCTATCTCACATATGAGCTGAATATAAAGGGTGTTGGTCAGTCCGAACGTATAAAGATAATACGAGGGGTGCTTGGATTGGGACTTTAGGACCGATGATGCTGTTCATCCGGCTATAGATAGTTTAGTAGACGGTGAACTGCTCATGGCCTGCACGGCGACACACGCGTTTGGTGGCAGCCGCGCAGTCGCTCGGTCGGCAAACGGTGGTTCCCCGTAAACCTCGCAATATTTTGTCAGTTGGTTGTATCGGAGAACGAGCCGGGCATTTGGTTCTTCCTCGGGATTTCAGACTTTTTGATTTCTACCTTTACTACTAGTGGTGTTCATTAAAAATTCCCACTAATCTTTTCCCTGGGAGGGCTGGTAATTCAGCCCGGGAATGAGAATTAGGCTTTGTTTGATTCATAAATCCTATGACTTTTTTAAGTCCTAATTTATAAGTCTCAAGTCTTTAATAAGTCTCTATCTGTTTGGTTCCTTGGACTTAACATGGACTAAAAAACCATATTATAACTATAAGTCCCTATAAGTCCCTCCTTAAAAGTCTTATTTCATAAATCCCAAATACCAACTTTAAGTCCCTATAAATCCCTTCCGCTTGATTTAGATGAGACTTATAAAGATTTTTTTAAGTCCCTAAATCAATAAATCTCTGAAAACAAACACCCTTTTAGCAAAGAAAAAGAGGATTGTTCGTTGTGCCAGACAAAGGGGTGGTTCAGTTTTGTACCTAAACAAACGTGTCGTCAACATCTTCTGTTACTTTGGCTCACGAACCAAAGAGAGGAAATTATTTTCTTGTTAAATTCCTACAAGTAATTCCCAGCAGGCACCAAACGTGAGACTAGCACTAAGAGTCCACTTCCGAAGCCTAATTCTTCAACAAACTCCCCCTTATAAACTCATATTTCATTTCCCTTAAACTAATTCTTCTGTTTCTAAATATAAGTTTTTTTTTAAGATTTCAATACAGACCATATGCAGATGTATATAGACATATTTTAGATTATAAATTCACTCATTTTTTTATGTATGTAGACCATATTGAAATCTCTAAAAAAACTTATATTTAAAAATAAAGGAAGGACCAAACATGCTGCTAGTACTTGTCTATGCGCAAAGTGGTATCCAACGGTGGCCCCTATATGTCCGGATACACTACATTCAATTTCGTAGATATTTATCTTGGCTGAAACGTACTGTATCTACATTGACATAGTTCATACCCAGAAACCAAATTTTTTTTCCGTGTACTCAGAAACCAGGTTGACAGGCTGAAGCGTACTGTGTGAGGCCCTATACACGGCAAAAACGACAAATTTGATATGTAAAACGAACAATATCACAAAATGAACCATTGACGAAAAAATTCATTCACCTGATCCTTTTATGTAGTGCCTGACAGTTAGGCGTCACATTACACTGTACAGGCATTACACGCCTGGCAGTGTCGCAGGTTGTCTGAAAAATGCTAAGTCAGTGCATAACACCCGAGAGCTAGGCTCTACACGAAACAATGTAGTGCCTAGTGTTAGACGCTGCACTAGTGGCCGCTCCAAGATGTAGTGGCAAATAGTGCAGCCACTAGTGCAACGCCTAGACACTAGACGCTGATTTAGCAATTTTCATGCAGTCCGGGATGCAACGCTGGCTAGGCGTGTAGCGCCTGTCAGTCAGGCACTGCACATTATAGTGTGGCGCCTAACTGTGGGCACTACACAAAAGAGTCAGCCGGGTGAAAAAACTACATCAACAGTTCATTTTGTGATATTGTTTCATCCAGAATAGTGATTTTGGCCTCTATGCGCATCATTCACCGCCAGTCACCAATACTGACCTCAGCATCCACATCGTGATGAGCATATATAATTGATCCGATACAAATCAAGCGCTGTGCAGTTTGTTGGGTGCTCAGGCACTACTACCTCTGCTGTACCTTTGAGCCGCGACACATTATTTCTGATAATAACAAATAAACACGGCATATCCGCAACAAATAACCAGGAAGAAAGTTTGCGGAGAGCAAATAGCTCAATAAACAGCATCTTTATTAGAAACAAGCAAATCCGATTCCATCTTTCACTCTCGTATTTACTTGGAAGGCCTCTCATCTCTCCTTATTTCTTTTTATAAACGAGTATCATCATATCTAAGTGGAAATATCATATCCAGTATTATTGATTCGCTGTAGCAGCCGCAGAGTTGCGCCTACTCCCAACAGGACCAGCAAGATATGATGCAGAGGCTGGGATCAGTATTTCCGGAGTACTTGCTCCATAATTAGTGCGCTTTGCGAACGCCAAAAGCTCTCCAGTATTTACATGGCAGGTCTAGTGGCTGCTCCAGCAGGACCAGCTTGTCGCAGCAGCTGCATGGTAACCATACATACATCAATAAGCAAATTGATGGAAATGATCAACTGTTATGACACCAAGACAGACACGGCGGTGCCTCAAGGGTTACCTGGAAATAGGATTCTAGTTTCTGCCTCAGGATGGCATGCTCCCTCTTCAGTTTCTGGAGAGACCCCATGCAACTGCATACCAGAATAAAGCACATGCGTAAGTAACGGCTGTTTTCATCATAGGACAGCTATGCAGCGAACTCATGGCGCATTTTGGTTTTATAACAACGACAAAGTGGCATGGAGTTCTTTTCTTTTCCAAGTCAAGATATTCTGAAAAACAATAGAGATAAAGCCCACAAAGAAGTAATGCATCGACATGGCGTGGGGTGAGAGACGGACCCTTCAACATTTCGTTGCCCACAATTATCCCTGAATGACATGCATTCATTCTTCATCCTAGAAGCACCGATGCTGCACCAAATTGTCAAATGTCAATGATAGATCAAATGTATAATTATTAAAATAACTGTGTAGACGCATGCTTTCTTGCAGCATGCAAAATGAACTCAGAAACTTGAGAATTTGCAAAATGTTGATAGCTGCACACTGTGAGCTTTTGCTTGGCAACGACATGCACATTTAGCAGTCAATTATCTGAATATGGCAATACGAGTTTCTCCGCTAATAATATAGCGGTGTGGCCATATGGGATCTCAGTACAAAGACATTCGACGGAGGTATTTCACACAAACCAAGAATGCTTAAGCTGGAGAATTAAAGACAACTACAGTTAGCCTCCATCTTCATTTGGAGAAAAAATGCTTCGGGTGCGTCAGCTTCCCCACGTGCTTAACTAAACTAACAGTCATGCTGGTTCTTGTGGTATGCGGAACAATGAAGCTAAAGGCCTATGAGCTGAATCCGCATCATAAGGAAGTGGACAAAGATATCTAGTAGAAATTGTGGAACTACCTGGAACAGCTGCCTTTCAGTTGCTGCATGTATGCATCCCACCTGTTGAAATCTCTGGGGTACTTCTCCCTGCAGTGATTTCATGTCTACCATTACCACTTGCATGGTCTATCATTCACTAAAGGGAGCTCTTATTCATATACTTGGTACTTACAGAGCTTGCTCAAGGTTTGATATTAGCCTGCCAGAATCTTTAAAGAACACCACCACAACTTCTTCCACAAAATTAGGGCTAGCTTCATCCTGCAAGTCCTCCACCTGACGAAATTGCTCATCAAGGTGGCCCTGTCAAAAATGTTTGTTTCCAAATCAGCATGTGATTTGTCAAAGAAAACATGAAAAAGAAGTAGATGACTGGCAATGGGATAACAAACGGGGGAGCTTCCTGAATAAACGTAAGATATATTATTGAGAGAGAAAATAGCAGAGAATTGACTGCATGCCTGATCAAAGAGGCCCTTTTTCAAAGATGCAGCTTGTCGCCTCAAATTAGAATAATCCATTTATATGAATGAACGAGTGAAAAAGTGGCAAAGTGAAGTTCGTACAGGTAAGAGCAAGCTTCACAATGCACATATAACTTGTAGGAGACGGATATAGAGAAGTTGAACCTTGGATGCATATATATAGCTGTGGAGGCTGTTACTATTTGCCCACCAAACATAAGTGAAGTGCAGATATTCTAACCTCTGGATAGCAAAGGTTAGCATCTTGCATGCGTAGGTGATTTGAATGCCACGGTGTGCAAAAGCTATCCACATTTTGGAGAGCGACTTGAATATATGCGGATTCCCGTAGGCTGTAGCTCTTCATAAGATATACAGCGGTTCAAGTAGAACAAGTGTGAGGAAACCATTAGAGGTTTGAACCACTCCAGATTGGTTTGGTTTATCACTACGACAGCTCAAAGCGATGGAGAGTAATATCCAGTTTCAAGGCACATGAAAGCACTGTTTGCTTGTAAAGTAACATGGCATATCCACACCTAAAGCCAGATATCATATTGTTTTAGTGCCCCTCTACATGCAGTAAATACATTTTGATTAGAGTGAAGTTCAAACGAATTTGCAGCCTCACATGCTAAACTTTCTCATGATTGATTGCCAAGAAGTCAGAGAATACCACATTTAAATAAGTGGAGAAGTCCCAACTTCAATTTGTTTTGTTTCACTATCAGATGAAAAAAGAACCAGTTCAAAAGGAAATTAATCAAGCCTGAGATTACAATTCAGTTAAGATAGTGTTCCTACAATTTGTTAAATCACACAAGTTACAATAGAAACAACAGTTTGAGCTTTCATTTGCTAACACCTACTTATCTAATAGCCTACCACACGACCTGAGATAAGCCTAGATGGCAGCTTTTCCTAACTCCCTAAAGGTACCAAACTCGTATATGCAAAGCACAGTCAATGACTAAATCAAGGGTAAATCAAGCAGTGTTCTCATTCTGCGTCTATCAATATCGAACTGGTGTTCAACTAATACCTCTTGGGCAAGCAACCTAACACAAAAAACTGATTCACTCACCTAAAAAAGATGAAAATATGATTAGCTTACATCGGTATCTTGTTCAGCTAATGGCTAACTGCTTTGCGTGTAAATAACAATAGGATACTGTGACCTTTATGTGTAAAGTTGTCCTTAGATTTCAGGAAAAAAAATCTGTATGCGACAAACTGTCATAGGTCGCATTGTTATCGGACAAAGGGGGGAAGATAATACAAGATATCTTTTTGTGCCCCTCAAAGTTCAAACATGTTCTTGTGATAAAATCTGAGAGAACAATGGAGAATTAGAACAGATCCACCAAATGCTTACTTTGAGCCTCAGCCAAAGAAAAGTTGGACAAAGAAACAAATCGCAATAGTTCCTTCCAATTGTTATAGAAAAAGGATCACAGCACACTGGACCACGTGGCAAAAACAACGATTTTTTGCAGAAGGAGTAAAATAGATTCATTCAATGATTGGTCCTATGATTGCTCTTCACCCCTAGTCAGCATCACAACTTGATAATAGTATCTGCCATGGATAAAAGAAATTGAAATAACCAGAAAGCCTATACAGGGAACAGCTCAGGAAAAAGCACGTTCCGGGTTGATCATTGCCATGAGAGTAAATGGAGACAACTATTTTCTACCTGCAAGCTACAGTCAGTACCGTCCCTGAATGACGCTTGCATATACAGAAGGATAAATTCCTTATATATATATATATATCATTTTTTGCAAATCCCTCATTCTGACTGCCAAGGTGGGTCCGCAAAGATACCAAAGCACAATCTCACTATCCATCCCTACAGAGACATCCCTTTCCCTTTGGCCAGTGAACATTCTTGTGGCATATCTGTCTGTCTACAAGACCATTGTTCACCATGCTCACGGCATTTTTAGCAAGCAACCAAACTATATCGCCGTTCTGCTATCAAATACTCAATAGCCACCAACTTCTTTCTGTAAAACCACATCGAGGATTGTGCTCTTGTTGAAGTGCATATGTGGATTTCCTAGCCCTTTCCACCAGTTCGGACTTTTGATTGCGTTGGCTAGTGCATGAAGCTTAACATGGTATCAGGGCCCAAGGTCTTGAGTTCAAGTTCTGGCTTTCGCGATTTGTCCAAAAATTGGTACTGCCCCCTGTGTCCAAGTATAGGCCTCACCTCTGAGTCTATTCACGTGTTGACTTCCCGCGTCACACGTGAGAGAGCATGTTGAAGTATATATGTGGATTGCCTAGGCCTTTCCATCAATTCGGTCTTTTGGTTGCGTTGGCTAGTTTTAAGCATTTAGAAAGAAAGAAACTTCTCATACCCTTATCATTTGCTACAGAATTTGAGTTTTCACTCTGATGTCCTTTTGCAGATAGAATGAGCAAACACGAAGCCTCAAGGTAAAACTTAGATATCTCTGCACATCACATATATCTGCTTCCACGTGTCGAGGTTATCCATGCTCTATGGCTTATGCAACCAAGCCGTCAGAAATCCCTTTATAGCATCGATGTATGCAAATTCCATAGTCTAAATCTAGCATACGTGTAGCTCAGCATGATCTAGATTTGTGGCAGTACCTCCAAAAGCATGTTTATGTCTTTATCATATCTATGGTCAATTGGTCCTCCAAAAGGAGATGCTTTCTTGGTTTTGTTTTGCATGTATGATTCATTATTTTTGACAGCTTAGTTGGTATCTGTTCCCGGCTTCTTGCCTACGTGTATGTAGATTTGCCTCATTATTCCCTCACACTCAAAATCCACACAGAAACTGAAGAACCTATCTATTTCCGGGTTTTTTTTTCTGCGTTGATAGTAACTTAAAAGTAACCTATCAATGCACATCCACCGTTGGTTCTAACACATCTAAAATAAGTTTTGAGGCCAGACTGTGGTCTGAGACCACCAATCCAACCATGAGATCAGCAAACTAATTAAATATTTCCCTAGTTCAGTTGATGCACAACCAGAGCTCAACACCTGGCAGCAACGAGACTGAGGAAATACATGACATTAAACACCAGAACCACAAGCAATCGACTTGCTCTGCATACATATAAACTGTGTGAAAGATAGAACCCAACACTAGAAGTTAAGTGAAATATCATTTAAGTGTGTGCTATCATTTTCATTCCAGTAGTAGAAAATAAAGACACGCGGTTTTTAGCCATCTCGCATCTTGCCTTGATTGATTCAATGTCACATAAGAACAGATTCCTTCATGGCGACATCCATGAGGGGGGCCAACTAGGCAAGCGACGGAAAGCTCTGCACTACGCCAAGGGGAGCCTAGAGATCGACACGACACCCTGATTCCTCGACAGCAACCTCCACGGTCGCTGCCGGCATCCATCCACGACCGGATGGGCGCGCCGACCCGCTCGACGCCGTTCGGAGCGCAGCCGCAGGTTCCGCATCCGGAATTGGCAAAAGGGGGGCACAAGGGTAAACACGATGCTCGGGAAAAGGCGGCGGGAGAGCGAGTGCGGCGTCTCTGCTTGCTAATAGGGCATGAGAGATGATTCTTGCAGATGGTGGAGTGGTTAGTGAGTTACCGCCGGGAGGCGCCGGACGGGGGAGATGCGGCCACCAGCGCCTGCGGGCCGCGGCGGACGATTTGGGTGTCTTTTGCGGGTGCTGCTCCGGTCGGCGGGGCGGCAGTGAGATACTACTAGGTCGAGCGGCCGGCCGGCTGGCCCGAGAGCTCCTAGTAGACGCCAGACCTGGTCAGATGGGCTGGCACGGCACACCTAATACGCGGGCCGGCACTCGTGCCACGCTCCCTGGCCCAGGCACGGCACAACAAGGAAATGGGCTAGCCCACCGGCATGTTTAGCCCACTAGCCCACCTGAGTTGTTTTCGGTTTATCTGGGCTGTTTTAAAGCGCTAATACAAAAAAACTATTTTCTTTAAGTTTTTTTGAGACAAACTATTTTCTTTAAGTAATGGATTGTGTCGGCACTCGTGCCAACCCCACAGCCCAAGGAAGGGCCTAGGCGGGCCACATGCTGGCACAACCTGATTAGAAACGTGTCGGGCCTGGCCAACACGGGGCGGGCACGTGGGCTATCCGACCAGCACGTCAGGACCAACCCATGTAGCCATCTTTGTTTTTTTGAGGCAATCTCACGAAGCTTTTATTCAAATTGTCATAATGTTTACAGGAACGAAGGAATGACCTTCAGGCTGACCTAGCCAAACATGACGTCCAGGCCCTAACATTAATGCATGCTTCGTTAGATTGTGAGCCTCCATATTGAAGCTTATAAATTCATGAACTATATTACATGAAATAAAAAGAAGTGGTAGTCAACTTAATCTCCTCTATAATAGCACCGTAAGCTGACCCGCTACCAGTTTTGATTTCTGCCATCTTTGGTTGATGCTCGTGTTTGTCAGAGTGCCTTCGCTCAAGCCAACACAAATGGGCAGGCCCACTTTTCCAACGAAGCTATTTTTATGTATTGCTCTTCGGTTTTTTAGTCTGCTTTCACCTGAAAAAACAAACGTCGTTTTTAGTATGTTTGAAAAAGTGAACAAAATTGGAAAATTCGAAAAATAATAAAACCTAAACAACAAATTTGAACATTTCTTGGAATCATGAACAAGTTTTGAATTGTGGATAATTATTAAAACTATGAGCAAATGTTTAAAAAGTGAACAAAATTTGAAAAATGTGAACAAATCATACATAGTTTGTTTAAAAATTAAAATTGCCAACAATTTTAGGACTCTGAATTTTTTTTAAATTTTTTAAATAGTAAAAAACACGATTTTTTATCTTGACATTTTTCCAAATAATTATTTCAATTGTGATTTTTTAAACATGAAAAAAAATCAAAAATGAGGACATTTTTTAATTGTTAACAAAATTTTGAAATCATGATTTGTTTATTTTTGAATTTCAATTTTTTGACAATTTAAACAAATTTTGAAATTCCAAACATTTTTTTGAAATTTTGAATTTATGAAAAAAGCTGGAAACAATCAGCGAAGGAAGAACACTTGGGCGGCCCATTCGTGCCTGCCCTTAAGCGAAGGCTCGACTATTTTCCGCCCGCTGGCCCATCGCCACGTTGGATGTTGTCGGGAGTGTACCTGGCCAGATGGGCAGAATCTCGCAGGTCGGCGTGTTAGCACGCGTGTTTGGTCCATGACGTGCATGGGGTCGTGCTTGGGCTCCTGAGTGAGACCTGCGTGCCACAACTTCATGGCCCATTTTTTTATTTTTATTTTATATATATATATAGGCCAAAAAACAACCCAA